ACTTGATTTTTAGAGCAAAACTGCATTAAAAAAAAATGTCTGGCATTCTTATTTAAAAAAGAGACTTTCATGAGAACAGAAGGACATTGTTTTCAACATGAACAATCTCACCTTGCTTAAAGTGATTCTGTCACTTTTTTTCTGAGCAGTCAGATCAAGCATTTGTTTTTTTTAGTCATCATTTGAAATAAGGCTTTTCTTAGCTTTTCAGTATATTCATTCAACCTTTATTTAGACAGATGACACATCTTGTGAAAGTGCATAATATAAAAACAATTATATTTAGGTTGAGACTCTGGTATAAATTTAGTGTTTCAGACAATTAGAAGAACAATATTCAGGCAAAAATACCCTATACATGGTCTACATTACAGTCATATTTTAAGGGGTCCAAGCCAGCAAATGCAAGGTTTCCATGTATCCAGTGAAGCATAGAACCCTATTGAAACTGTTCCATTTTTTTTATTTCTTCTTCTTTCTATTTTTTTTGTTCGTAAATAAGTCATACTGCATCCCAAACCTTACAGTGTATTGAGAGTATTAAGATGATATTTACATGGTGATAACTACAACGGACCAGCACAGAGTCCACAATACTTCAGAAGCTGCGCCGATCCATCTGTTGCTCTCTCGCTCCTTTCATCCCTCACTTGTAAACAAAACCCTGATATTTTTTAACTCCTCCACTTGAAAACAGCACCTCACCCCCAACCTGGAGAGGACAATCCATCTTTTCCAACTGAAGACTATGGCCACAGATTTGGAGGCACTGATCCTGCTCTCAGCCGCTTTACACTGCTGCGAACTGCCCCAGTGAGAACGGAAGATCACGACATGTTGATGATGCCAATAGGAACACATCATCTGCAAATAACAGAGATGGAATCATGAGACTACCAAATCAGATTCCCTCTGCCCCCTGGTTGCATAAAGAAAATCTGTCCATAAAAGCTATGAACAAAATATTTGACAATGGGCAGCCCTGGCAGAGTCCAACTCTCACCCTGAAGGGACTAGACTAAAGCTTGTTTGTAGTTCAACAAGATGTAAGCCAGCAGATCTGTCATTACATAGTCTAAGATGTCTTTGTCTCACGGAGCATTCATAGAAGACACGGTGGATAAATCTTCATAATTCCTACTCCCGTCTTCCCACAGCACTCCTACTGTAGCATGTCACATGCATGGCTAAGCAAATAAACACCAGCAGTGATAGCAGGATAAATATTTTTTTTTTTTGTACTGGAAAATGCATTCTCCAGACACTGAAAGACAATCTGCTTCTGAAAGCAGACTATTTTCAGCTAAATGAAGAAGAAGCATGTGCTGTTCCACCTAAACAAACATCCACAAAGTTCTGACCAGTGCATGTACCAATGTGTAATGCATAGCCTGCAATACACAGTTTTGACTGGGGACAATGCACAAGATAGTGTCAGTGGGTAGTAAAAATTGGAAGCTACTTAATTTTTGCCACACAGAAACGTAAGTGAGACAAAAGACCGGAGGTATAAACCAGCTTTTACTGATGGCAATGCGAACCAAACTCTTGCACAACTTGTATAGGGGCTGAATAGCCCGTAGCAATCGGCCCACAATCCCATACTAATGGAGCAACCCCCACAGTGTACATCGAGGAAAATGATCACATAAATTTCCCAAGTTCACAAAACGCATGTAGACTGGATGGGCAAACTCTCATGACCTTGAGGACCCTAGTGAGGGTAAAGAGCTGGTCCAGTGTTCCACAGCCAGATTAGAACCAGCATTGTTCCTTCTGAATTAAAGGTTCAAGCATTGATCAAACTTGCTTCTCCAATACTCCTGAATAGTCCTTACCAAGGAAAATAAGGGGGAGTCTATAATTGGAACACAACCTCCTGCCCCCTTTTTGAAGAGGGGAACCACCTTGTCTGCCAATCCAATGGCACTGCCCCCAATGTCCACACAATGTTGCAATGGCCGATCAAAACAGCCCCGCATCATCCAGAGGCTTCAGGAACTCAGGGCAAATCTCATCCACCCCTGGAGCCATGGAACTTTTGAACTACCTTGGCTACCTCAGCCAAGAACATTATAGATACAACAACCTTGAATTTTCATTCATTCAACCTTTATTTAGACAGGTAAATCCCATTGAGCCTCGAGGACTCATTTACAAGAGAGACCGGATTTCAACAAAGAATGATGACAACAATGGACAACAGCGACAACAATAAACAGTTATAAAAAGTCATACAATTTATTTTTATTTTTATTTTTTTTACAAATGGGAAGGCTAAAAAAAGAAAGGTAACAAAAAACAGCTAGATTCTAAGGCGAATGTAGAAAAATAAAAACAGGCACATGTCTGCATTGGTCCCTGCCAGGAGTCCAACAGATTCTTAAAGCCACTTAGAGAGGTCAAGGTCGAGAGCTTTAAATTTTTTTGTAAGATATTCCAGGAAAAAGGAGCAGAGTAGGAGAAGGCCCTTTTGCCTAGTTCAGTCTTCACTGAGGGAACACTGCAGGTTATAATGTCCTGAGAGTGCATGCTGTAGCTGCACTCACACAGAGACATGTAGGGGGAGATGTATGAAGGCAGCAGACCAAGAAGTGATTTAAAGATGAAAATGTACCAGTGGGAGAGTTTGCGTGAAGCTAATGATGTCCAGTTAACCAGTGAATACAGGGTGCAGTGGTGGGTACGGTAATCACAGCCAGTTATGAATCTTAATGCACCATGATAGACAGCATCCAACATCTGCAGGGTGCTTGTAGGAGCGTTCATGTAAATAATGTCACCGTAATCAATGGAGGGAAGGAAGGTCACAGATAAAAGGCGTTTCCTAGCATTCAGAGTTAGACAGGATCTGTTTCTGAAAAAGAAACCCAGTTTAACTTTCAGTTTCTTTTCTAGGTTTTCCACATGGAGCTTAAAAGAGAGATAGAAGTCGACCAAGATACCCATATATTTAGTAATCAACAAACTCAATCGGGACACCATTTGAGGATGAAATCAGAGGAAGAACTGCTGGGACCAACTTCCTATTTGAAAAAAATGCATCCCTTTGGTTTTGTCTGTATTTAGGACATGTTTGAGGTGGAACAAATCTGTCTGGATGATGTTGAATGCAGATTTCAAAAGCTTGAAAGCCTTTTCAACTGTTTTAGCTCTAATTCCTCTGACTCAGCTTCCTGATCCAACTCACTACCAGATGGTGATCAGTTGATAGCCCAATTCCTCACTTCATCCAAGTGTCCAAAACACATGGCCAGAGGTCAGATGACATGACAACCAAGTTGATCATCAATCTGCGACCTAGGATGTCTTGGTGCTTTGTGCACCTATGGACACCCTTATGTTTAGACATGGTGTTGGAGATGGACAAACCATGACTAGCACAGAAGTCCAACAACAGAACACCACTTGGGGTCAGATCAGAGAGGCCATTCCTCCTAGCCATGTCCCTCCAGGTCACCCTGTCACTACCCATGTGGGCGTTGAAGTCCCCCAGCAGAATAAATAAATACCTAGCTGGAGCACCTTCTACCACACCCCTACTAAGGACTCCAAGAAGGTATAGTACTCTGAACAGCTGTTTCTGCATGTAGGCACAAACAGCAGTCAGAATCGGTCCCCCACAAGAAAGTGCAGGGAAGCTACACTTTCATCTACTGGGGGAACCTCCAACATATAGACACCAAGCCAGGGGGCTACAAGTAGACTCACAACAGCTCTGCACCTCTCATCATAGACAACTCCATAGTGGAGTAAGATCCAGCTCATCTCAAGGAGGTTGTTTCTGGAGCACATGCTGTACCTTGAAGTGAGCCCATCTACATATAGTCAGTACCTCTGAACCTCACACACAATCTCCAGCTCCTTCCTCACCAGAGAGGTGACATTCCATGTCCCAAGAGCCAGCTTTGGTAAATATGGGTCAGAGCGCCATATTGCACCCCCATGGGTAGAGACCCAGTCACCAGGTGCTCTCTGACAAGCTTCTCCACCAGGCCTGTGTCCAGTTTGAGGGTCCAGTAACCCATGTTCAGGCAAATCACATCAAGTTCTTTCCATTTTCTGTCCATACAAGTACTTTGAAATCACTCTTTGTTTTGTGTGTCACCTAGGACCAATCTGTTTTAGGAGACCATACCAGTGGCAGTTGCCCATGGCAGCATAGCTTCTAGGATCATTCAGGTGCACAAACTCCTCCACCACGATAAGGTGGCTTTTCATGGAAGAGACAAACAAAAGCTGTTTAGCTTTTTAACCAAACAGCTCCATGTTGACCATCTTGTCAATAACAAATTATTTATTTTATATTTATTGATGGTGTTGAATTGAATTTTTCTGTCACAAGATAAACACGTTGAAAGATACAAAAGAAAGATTATATGGAAACAAATATACAATAACCGTTTTTAATTTTCCTTATTAACATTATATAGATTTATAGTTTCTTCTGTTGAGCGTTTAGCAAACAGTTGTCATTAAAGGGAACCGTGTAGCTCTTCAAACGTTTGATCTTTCACTTGTTTAGGGTAGTGTTTCATTACATGATAGTCACATCACAAAGTGTATGACAAAAAAATCTTAAGCTATAAATCTGCACACAGCATTTCTGCAGCCTGCATTTAGTGTATGGTCACAATGATAAATGACCATCTGTGAGAAAATAAATTAAGTTAAAGCATTCACGCAAACAGCAATTTAGTCCACTGACCTGCGTCATACTTACCCTGTCACTTGGCTGAATTATTGACTCATGCAGCAAAGTTTCTCAGTAGTAAGTCATTGAATAAGTTAAATGTTTCTTAAATTTTTGCAACTTCCTTTTTTTCCAGCAAAAATTTGTAACTCAAGCTTAAACTGTCCTCACAAAGCGTTTTGTCTTATCTTTGATTCAACTAATGAATACTTTCCTAGATTTCAAAATGGAGATTTGTTTTTTAAACTCCTCTTATTCCCTTTTCCTGTTTATCTTTGCTCCCATCCAATGCTTCCCCCCCATGTAGCTTGGTGGTGATGAGAGACGAGTGGACAACAGGACAATCTACATTGGCCATCAGTCTTTTCCTGTCAGTGAGGCTTTAAACCCACCCAAGTTCTGTGACAACAGGATTGTATCGTCCAAGGTAAAAAGCACATCATATCTCTACTTACAACTGGCATTAATATTTGTGATCTGGTTCTTGGTAATGAAAGTACCATTGTAAATTTTCCCAATATGCTTTAAACCACAGGGGCCTGGATCTATGACTTTAAATAACTTTTAAACCGCATTTAGGAAGAAGTTTGCTTTGTTTAGGCTACACTGCAAACCTGCCCATCATTTAACTTTTTTTTTGACTAACTAAGTGTAAAGGTGCTGCCTGCTGCCAGTTAAAAACACACTTTTTTGCCTTCAAAGTCAGATCCAAAGCACATTTTATTTAGATATGTGAAATTCACATGTTTTGTTTGCCACTCTACTTGTCTGTGGATTGTGTGTCACCTTCCTTCAGGCATTTTTATTCTTAAATAACACTTTGAATACAAAACAAGCTCTTGAACAGTCCTAAGCATTCTCCTGTTTTTCTTCCTGCTCTTCCTTTTTCTTCCTTTCCCCATGCTTGTCTGAGCACCCAACCGAAGGCGATCGTTTATCTGTCAGGGGAGGACAGAGTGGCAGTGAAATACATATTTGCTATTAATGAATTGGAAGGGTGGGCCATTTCGTTGTTTCCCCTGGGCTTTGATAGACTGCCCCCTGCTAAGTTTTACCCATCTATTCCGTGTCAACAGCAAGCTCAGACAGGTTCTGTTTACTAGCCTATTGATGAAAGTGATGATGAGGAGGAAGGAGTGTGAAAGCGAGATGGTCATGGGATTTATAGTGGTGCAGAGGGTCCCAGTGCACAGGGGCCAATCAATTGCTTCTTGACAGTTTGTCCATGTAAACAATCTTTAAATACCCCAGCTGTAGTGTTTATGCTCCTCACTGCTTCTGCTCTCCATCATATTTTTGGTTTTGCACTGCAGTGACCAATATACGACTTTCCGCTCCTGCTTTTGCTGCTTCTGCACCATCACACTCAGCCCCCCCTGTGCCGCCACCCCCCTTTTTTCTCATTACTTTTACACTCTTTTCTCTCTAGCAAAATGAGATGGGCCATTCTGCTGCCACTGCATTTCAACACACTCTCCAAGCAGAGTTCCCATACATAATCAGTGCCTCTGTGCTGTTTCTGTGCAAGTGTTTGTATGTGTAGGCATGTGTTTGGATTTGTGTCTTTCATAGTGGAACATTGTTTTCAGCACAGAGCTATTTGAAGAAATTTGTTGAGACTGAAATTCAAGCAAATAAAGCAGTTTTTCCACACCCACCGATGCCAATTGTCACAGCTACTTTAAAAAAGAGCAAAAATACCTTGATAGGTTTATTGCCACTGCATTAAAGAGTGGCCAAATTTCAAATTTTAATCAGTGGGATATTTATTTTTCTCAAGATTTGACTAGGAAGCATGAAGAAAAGAAGCTTTATATAATTAAATCTATCTTGTTTCAGCTCACTGACACAAAATGTCCTTATTAAAGAATCTTTAAGTATAAATATTTTAAGTGTCTGTCATTACTTGTAAGACTTAAAAAAACTTAACAATACTTGGCTAAAAACATACCAAAATCTGATTTATGCAAATAAAAATACCAAAATTACTAGGGATGCACGATATTGGATTTTTGGCCAATATCTGATATGTCGATATGTTAAACTTATTTGACTGGTAACCGATACCAATACCGATATTTTTCCCCCTAGACCTACTTACAGAGACTACATAGCTTTCTCTGCTGTCAAATTAAAATACTACATTATTCTGCATGTTCTTTTGTCAATTTGGCCTGCTACTAAATGCAGATGCCAAAATGAGGGCTGAAAATGATGTAACACTTCAACTTGGTTTATGTTTAATGTCAAATTTATTCATGACATTTACTCTAACACAATGACAATACTCGAACAGTGCAAATTTGTAAATTTTCGCAAATCTAAACTCAGTGGCACGCGTGACGTCATAACGTTGTGCTGGCGCTGCAGGCATCCTTGTCACTGGGTTGTCATACAGAAACGGCACCTTTTTATATGGTTGAGTTATTTTGATGGAATGGCCGATGTCCGATATTTAACTTTATCGCTAATATTGGCTGATATGATGCCGATAATATCGTGCATCCCTAAAAATTACATCAACAGACTATTGTATCTACAGTATCTTATTCCTCTGGCTCTAATCACGTTTCTCTTTTTGCTTTGTAGTATACAGTCTGGAACTTTCTACCAAAGAACTTGTTTGAACAGTTCAGAAGAATTGCTAATTTCTATTTCCTCATCATCTTTCTGGTCCAGGTAAGAGCAAACTTTGCCACTGTGCCAACCCAAAGAAAAATGATCTTGTTTAGCTGCGACATTGCGGTTCTTCAGTTGTGTTGTATTTTCAAGTCCACTGTGTAAATGTCTTATAGTGTTTATTTATTTTTGGTTTTGTCTACTCTGTGAAGTAGAAATAATCGGTAACACTTTATTTGAAGGGATGTGCATAAGACTGACATGACGCTGTCATGAACATGAACAAGTCTTTATGAATGTTTATAACTGTTACCATTAAGTGTCATTTGGTAAATTATGACACCTTTAATGCAAAGTTGACATTGTTTAAAATGCCGAGTTGTCATAAAGAAGACATTTTATCTTGGTTACTGTCACGTTTTCATAACAAAGACATTTTTGTCTTGGTTAATGTCAAGTTGTCAAAAAGACATTTTAAACAATGTCAACTTTGCATTAAATGTGTCATAATTTACGAATGACACTTAATGACAACAGTCATAAACATTTATAAAGACTCGTTCATGTTCATGACAGGTGTTATGTCATGTTTATGACTGTATCATGTCAGTCTTATGCACACCCCTTCAAATAATATGTTACTAAATAATCTTGTACATGTCAGGGGGTCAAAGTATACACTCTCTACATGACTGGTGAATTACCCAACGGAGAATGAATATTTATTTGCATGTTCATTCATTCAACTTTATTTAGACAGGTAAATCCCATTGAGCCTCGAGGACTCATTTACAAGAGAGACCTGATTTCAGCAAAGAATGATGACAACAATGGACAACCGTGACAACAATAAACAGTTATAAAAAGTCATACAATTTTTTTTTTTTCAAATAGGAAGGCTAAATAAAAGAAAAGTAACAAAAAACAGCTAGATTCTAAGGCGAATGTAGAAAACTAAAAACAGGAACATGTCTGCATTGGTCCCTGCCAGGAGTCCAACAGATTCCTAAAGCCACTTAGAGAGGTCAAGGTCGAGTGCTTCAAATGTTTTTGTAATGTATTCCAGGAAACAGGAGCGGAGTAGGAGAAGGCCCTCTTGCCTAGTTTAGTCCTCACTGAGGGAACACTGCATGTAATAATGTCCTGAGAGCGCACACTGTAGCTGCACTCACGCAGAGACATGCAGGAGGAGATGTATGAAGGCAGCAGACCAAGAAGTGATTTAAAGATGAAAATGTACCAGTGAGAGAGTCTGCGTGAAGTTAATGATGTCCAGTTAACCAGTGAATACAGGGTGCAGCGGTGTGTACGATAATCACAGCCAGTTATGAATCTTAATGCACCATGATAGACAGCATCCAACATCTGCAGGGTTCTTGTAGGAGCGTTCATGTAAATAATGTCACCGTAATCAATGGAGGGAAGGAAGGTCAAGATACAAGGCATTTCCTAGCATTCAGGGTTAGACAGGATCTGTTTCTGAAAAAGAAACCCAGTTTAACTTTCAGTTTCTTTACCAAGTTTTCCACATGAAGCTTAAAAGAGAGATGCAAGTCGACCAAGATACCCATATATTTATAGTAATCAACAAACTCAATCGGGACACCATTTGAGGATAAAATCAGAGGAAGAACTGCTGGGACCAACTTCCTATTTGAACAAAGCATCCCTTTGGTTTTGTCGGCATTTAGGACAAGTTTGAGGCGGAACAAATCTGTCTGGATGTTGGTGAATGCAGATTTCAAAAGCTGGAAAGCCTTATCAACAGTTTTAGCTCGACAATAAACAACTGTGTCATCAGCATAGAAATGTATGGATGCATCAGGGATGTTTTGACCTACATTACCTATGTAGATTGTAAAGAGGGTGGTCCTAAGACTGAGCCTTGTGGTACACCATTGTTGACTGTTAAATAACTGGAGGAAGTACCATTATGTTGAACACATTCCCTCCGGTCTGAGAGATGGTTAGAGAACCAACCAATGGCGTGATCTGAGAAACCGATTTCTGAGAGCTTATGACACAAGATGTTATGATCCAGTGTCAAAAGCATGTGACCAGGAAATGTGTCAAACGCAAACAGGATGTAGAAACTGTATTTGCAACATTGCTGGAGTTTATTGTAAGGCTCTGTAGTATGTGTTTTTTTTTGTTTTGTTTCTCATGACATTTAAGTAAAAGAAAAAAAACTTATGGAAAGAAAACAATACTGTTAATCAAAGGAAATAAAAGACAAAGATGAAGTCCAAAAGACTAGGATGAAGCCCAAAAGACAAAGAGGAAGCCCAAAAGACAAAGAGGAAGCCCAAAAGACAAAGAGGAAGCCCAAAAGACAAAGAGGAAGTCCATAAGACAAAGAGGAATGCCATAGAGGAGATTCAGTTGGATGAAGATGGACATAGAGTTGATGCTCATTCATAGGACATTTCCGCAAAATATTTGTATTAGACCAGTCTCTCTTTAAGCTTCATTTAGCTGTTTCTAAATCACAGATGAAGCTGGAGATAGGTGTGAGCATTCAGAAACAAAGCAGGAAAAGCAGAACCAAAAGAAGCATGGAGCAGAACCCATATGGGCTGAAGCGAAGCATGATGCATTAAACGTGTGTCGGACATCTCCCTCGTGTCATTTTACAAAACATAATGAATCAACTCATTTTAGCAATCCTATTTGTTACTTTTTTTTTAAAAAAAAACAACTACAATGTTGCTGTGAGTCATTATCAATGTTTCCCCAGTAATAAATGTGTTTATTGTTAATCCCAAAAGCAGGCGGTCATCAGTTCGTCACATTACTGAGCTGCAGCTCTGCAGGGTTTTCTTTTTTCTTCATATGTTGGCCAGACCATCCCTGTTAATACCTCACTTGGAGGCACAGAGGCACATCAGAGGTAGGCTGTCTCAAACACCCTCCCGGCCTCTGTGTCTTCTGAATGGACGAAGGCAGCCAGAACACATCTCGGTCCCAGACTGCTGTGTCTTGTGACTGAGCCTGTAGTTAGAGTGAGGACCGAGGGCTCAGAAGATGGAGGATAACTTGCTGTGGCGACTCTTGGAAAAGGAACAGCCAAAAGAAGATCAAAGGAAATAAAACAAGGCAATGAAATAAAAATATATGAACTGCTCTGTGTGATAACAATAGAACAGTAGTGATAACTTGAGTAGTTGATAACCATTGATCATCTTTTCACACTATCTGGAATTTTCAAGCAAGCAGAGTTCAGCACAACCATTGCACAAGAAATGGTACAGTTCATTCCATTCAATTAACTATGATTTTTTTTTTTTTGAGCTGATTCCATCATTGTTCAGCTTTCCCAACTAATATGATTCCTCCCGATTCAAATTATCATCATGTATTTTGGAAGTTAAAAATTTTCAGAATCAGAATAAGCTTTATTATCATTGTATCAGGATACACAGTGGGATTATGTTCGTACAGTCGTCCGAAAAATGGGCGGAGTGCACGTTGCTGCTGCTACAAGGGTGTGGCCTCTTAATCTTTATCAGAATACTTTTTTAGATAGAAAAATGTAAGGCCATGAGGATGGATTTGTTAGTTAGTGGTATTACAAAAAAAAATCTCTTCACATCTTGTCCTATCAGGACACAATTTGAGACATCAAAAAACTCTACCAGCAAGCACATTTAAAAACATGATTACATATGCATTTGACGTCAAGACATTGAGATTTGTCCATGAAGCACTTTCAGATAGGCCATAGTCCTGATGAAGATGTTGTTCAGCCGGCAGTTCTGATAAGCCTGCACAGACGTTCTCCGGGAGGGGGGTGCGGGGGAGGTAGTTGCTATAGACAAAGCTTTTTCCTTAGATTACCCATGTTCCAGGAGAAATTTGAGAGTCGGCTCGTATCCGAGGCCGAACTGGGGAGTCAGATTCAAATAAGCCACAATTGTTGATTTTCTTCAGGCAGACTGTTTTTTCTTGTCAGCCTTGAGTCCTGTTGGTACTTTCCAGATCCAAAATGGCCAGATGTATGGGCATTCCACTCCACAGATCAACATTTTTTTTTTTGCATTTTACTAAATTATATACTTTTTGTTTATTCTTCTGAATTTTTCATGTGTCTGTCATTGTCTATTTGTGAGGTGTGCACTACACTATCCACACTAATGTCAACTGAGTTGGCCAAGGTTGCTGTTAATCAGTGTGGGAACTCCTTTTAGGCAACAAAAGCAAAGAGAGGATTTAGGTTTACTCAACTCTTGCAGCAAATAGCTCTCTAATGTAAACGGGTATTGGTGGAAGATTTGAGCAGGGAGTTGGATCTTTTTTCTTCGGTTTCAAACAGACTAAACGAGCAGAAACACTGGTGTCTCACTTTATAGCCCAATATCGTTAGCCAAATAAAGAAAAGTCAGTGCTCTACATATTTCTTTATTTTCAACAAACATAGTAATTGAAGTGTTGACCTTCCTTTTTTTTTTTCACTTGAAACATCTCCCCCTTTATTCTTTTTATTTTATTTTATAGTTTATCAAGTTTTCTACTTTATTATCCTGAGCTAATACCATATGTATAACCCCCCCCCCCACACACACACACGCACAAAAGAAAAGTTAAAATGATGCTTAAAATTAAAGTCAGCTAAAGGTGCAGTCTGATATGAGAGGAAAAAAATAACAAATGTTTCCATCACTCACTAAAACCACTGCTTCATGTTGCACAAGAATTGTTAGCGCACACTGCTTTCAGAGTGAAATGTTCTTTATATGTGAAAACATGCATGTCTGCCCTTGAGTCAGTGGGTGTCCTCGGTTTCTTGATGGTGTTTACTGGTGCTGCAGTGTGATAAACATTTCTCCATTAATCCAGCTGCTCTGCAGGGGCTCTTCATTTTAACCACTCATTTTATTTTTACATTGAGAAACACGTACTTAGGTTGCGCAGTTGTTTTGTGTTTGCATTTGACAGACAGAAATAAATCTTTTCATATCCCCTTGGGAGGCTTTATACAAACAGTCTACCAAATGATGCCATCAAACCTTCAACGCTAATCTATCCTCTTTTTATCTTATGTTATTTAGTCTCGTTCCTGCCATCTTTCTTTCTCAGTTTGCATCACACACAGCCTCAGTCGCTCTGCAGCGCTGCACTGCTGACGTCAGCAGCCAGGGAGCCCTCAGTACTTCTGAGCGACACAAATAGACACAGGCAGATAAAAAAGGCACCACTCTCCTATAAATAGCCCCTGTATGTCTTTGCCTGAATGTGATTGAACGGGAATAGAGTCCTGCAAGAGAGCCGAAAATTGAAAATGAGAGCAAGAGAGCGAGTGATGGAGTTGGGATGTGGGAGGGACATCAGCACCCACAGGACTGCACAGGGACCCCGGGGACTTGCTGTCTGTCGCACACCCTGACATACTTCTCAGCTCAGATGAAGTGCTGCTCTGCTCTGCTGCTTTGATATCCCACTAGCACATTGGCAGCAGCAGCACACCTTTCACTCACATTGCAGAATTTCTTTTTTAGGGGGGCGGGGGGGGGGGGATTGTGTGGTGCTCAGCAGATAATCTATGAATCCTAAACTGTGGAAGGATTGTGAACTGTTTGGTAAAACACATAATGTAAATTTTCTCAAGATTTTAGTTTCCTTAGACGTTTCCTGCCACAGAACTCATGATCATTGCAGACATCAGGTCTGTTCACGTCTGGTATTAAACATTAATTGACCACTTATAATAAAATCTCAGTTGTTCATTTTATATGCAAATAAACATTGCACACATGCAATGACTAACCTAAGTTGTAGATTTACTCAGACGTCAACACCTTTCAGATTGTTGTCAATGAAGTAAAACAAGTTAATTTATATAAAATTGGGATGAAATAAAAATATCTGATTTCTGCTGTAATTGGATAATTTTTTGATTGTCAATCAATCAATCAATCAATCAATCAATCAATCAATCAATCAATCAATCATTCAATCAGTCAAGTTTATTTGTGTAGCACATTTCAGCAACAAGGCAGTTCAAAGTGCTTTACATCATAAAAATACAAAATTAAAATTCATAAAAACAACAACAACAATGTTGTCCTGCTGGCACAATTAAGTAGTAATGATTGACCAGTATCTTACCTGCAGTACTAGACAGAGGTCAGCTCAATCAAGGTTGGGGAACTGAAGAGAAATTCTTAAAATTGTAAAGAAAATAGTATATTATTGTTATAAACTGTTAGGAAACTAAACTTTGGTTTGATTAGTTTGTGGAAATCTGCCCTTGAATGTACCCTGCTTTGCATAGTTGTTAGCTTGACTTCCCTATAAGAATTCCTCCTCGTTTCTCTGAACTAAACTCAATCTGACAGTGTTTACTGCAGATAAAGTACTGAATGCTCATAACTACTCCAGGCAAAGCGAAAAAAAAAAAAAAAAAATCAAATTCTTTCAAGTTGCTGCAAAGCGACATAGGACATTTTGACCCACCACACATTTTGAACCCCACAAAACATAGTACAGCTGAAAGTAAAAATGTGGCTGCACCAAAAACTTGTGCTAAATGGTTAAACATGTAGTAATAATTGTTCAGTAATATTAATATGCCTCCCTTTATGTTGTGTGATAAATAGAGGCCCTGAAGCTCTTTAACGTTTTACTAGTTGTTTTTGATGTTGTCACTACATGGCTTGTATGTCAGAGCAGTCGGTGTCGCATATCCCATACTACTTACTGCTACAGCATGCAATTAAACAAAACTGGCACCTAGTATGATGACAACTGATGCATTAAAGCCAGTTACAATCCTGATCCTGTTCCAACAATAAAAGTGTCACTGATGCTGTTGTGCCTGTGAAGCTTGTCAAGTCTAAATTAAAACTGTATTGTAGTGTGAGATAAAAGCTCGCTCGTAGAACCAGTGTTGATAATCAGATGCCAAAAAAGATAACACGGCCATTGTTTCTCTTTTTAGTCATCTATTGTACTTTTGTCAAGGAATAAAATCAAATTATACTTAGGATCTTTGCTGTGTAAAGAATTTACAGTTCTTTGGTGTCTACACATGCTGAGTGTGCTTGGAGTTAAACTTCTGTACTTGCTGTTTCTCTCATTCGAGATCTTTTAATTTAGTTAAGCTACCAAAAAAATGTAAGATGTCATCTTAATATGCTAAAGTTAAGAGCTTCTTCGTGTTCTTGTACTGCTGATCACAGTATTATTAAGTGAAGAGTTCTGATTTGCAACGTTTGTGAATATACACAGATGACCAGGGAAAACCACACTCCTCAATTCAATTATCTATTGTTATTGCATAGCCTATGACAATGTGCATATAATCTAATCTTTAACACGTGTAAAGCCTTGTATTTGCACACTACTAGTTTAGAAGTTTAGAGTATTCTCATTAGGAATTTGAAGCTAGATTTATTACTTTTGCCTCTCTTCTACTAGCTTACAGATTTGATGGCGAATCCTCAGTGTTCTAGTCTGTCTGTACTTTGTAACAGATTTATACCTAATAATTTTTATTATTGTCCTTGGATCCCATGAGTGCGTGTGTATGTTGGCAGTAAAGCAGGTGTTTAAATCTGTATAAAGATTGCGCCTTTGTGTTCATGCTGAGTGAAAAGCCTTTATTAATTCTCAGGAAAACATAGGAGGCTGCATGAAAATGCACCCCTACCCTTAGATGAGCTGAAGTCTGTCTGACAGGTTGTAGTGCTGCTGGTCAGAATATCAATGAGCTGCATGTACTGTGCCAGTGTGTGCTGTAATTATCAAACCTGCTGAGGAGATCCAATTTGTATTCTGCAGGATCAGAAATTCCTGGGTAAATCCATTAAATGGTTCATGGTGACACATGAGCACATAAGACATTTGTCTACCAAGGGCTTGTCAAGTCTTGCTCTTGTACTGGATGGAGTTATTTGATTACCTGCCTTACAGGTTAGGAGTGCAGCACATGCACGTATACATATCACACGTTTAGATTTACTTGCTCACTGCCCCTAAAAGTGAAGTGAATTTTACAAAGCTTCCTGTTGGCCTTATACTATGCCTTGGCAACGATTCAAAAGTATTGGCATGCCTGCAGATTAAGCACTCTCTCCAGCTCTCTTGATTAAAAGTTCTTTGGCCCAGAACCTCCTTTGCCTCCCTTCAGATCATATAAGTCTCGTGTTTCTTTCGGATGAGCAACTGTATGAAATATTTGTGTGTCAGATAAATATATTTAACATTTAAAGAGCTAGCCCCGTCTTTTAAACCATTAACACACGGCGATCCTGCTGCAATGTGCCAATGAACTTTGTAACAATGACAAATGATTTTATGTTCAAAAGCCATATGTGTTAACTTGATGTTTTTGTCAATTTAAATCCTTTGTTTTTCATCTAGGTGATAGTGGACACTCCCACCAGCCCAGTCACCAGTGGCCTACCTTTATTTTTTGTCATCACTGTAACTGCTATCAAACAGGTAAGGCTCTGCTTAATGAAGCAGATTAGTGCCAATAACAGAAATGTTATTGGGACATTTATTGCCATGTCCTTTTTTCCTTGTAGCCTTTATTGCCTTACATCCCCTCTCCATTTCCGTATAACATATTAAATCTCACTGCTTTTATAATCCCCTCGCTGTGTTTTTTTTTTTTTTTGTGTAAAGTACTTGACTAATGCTCTCTTGGGTTTTGCATTAATGTGCTCTGCTGGTGAGTTCTGATTGGGGTGAAGATGAAATGAGCCCTAGGGGAGTGTGAGCAAATGGAGAGAGAACAAGAGAGCAAGTCTATTACAAAGATACAAATTATCAAAGGGAAGTTTGTTTCTTTGTCCCTGTTGTTGCAATGTCCCAGCCTTAGAAGTATTGTTTTAGCATTGACTTCTTGGTCTGCTGCTGGGGCTTTTAAATGAACAATAGTGGGTGGGCTTCCTTGCTAAAATCTAAGGAAATCAAAGATAACTTGAGGTTTTAAAGCAAGACTCCATAGAGGCTAGACTGATATCAGAGTCAAATCTCTCTGCTTCATTTCTCTGGCTTTATTTCTCTACCTTACCCAACCAGACTATCTCCTTCTAACGCCTTTTCCTGTAATTCCAATTTTTGGCTCAATTTCATCCTTGGCACACATTGTACCACCTCACTCTGTTCCCTGCATTTCTGCACAGTCTCCTTCTTTTCCATCACTATCTCACAGTACTTTAGAAGCTTATATTAGGGTTTTGTGCTTTGTCTGCTGCCCAGACAATATCTTTTAGCCTGACTTAGTATTTTTATGTTGTTGCGCTGTTGTCCTGCGTTGCTGGACAGTCATTACTAATAACATTGTTCTTACGGACACTTGTTTTTCTGTCACGCTTCTTCTATTTAGAAACCAAAAACACTTCATGCCCTACTTTTTAGTTTGAGCACAAACACAGTCTCTCACTTGGGACTGGTGTCACGGTCACAGCTGTCAGTGACCCATGGGAAGTAATGCCAAAATAAAAGTTGTCACTTTCTGTTGTACTAAATAAATAATCCAGTTCTGATTTTGATACATTGCTGTAGGGATACGAAGACTGGCTACGGCACAAGGCTGATCGTGAAGTGAATAAGTACAGAGTGACAGTGTTGGAGAATGGTACGGAGACACAGAAGGAGAGTGAGAAAATTAAGGTAAATTTTAGCACACGCATCCTAACTTGGATCCATTGGAGTACATACTTGTTAAATAATATAACCAGAGAAGAGCTGCTGCCTGTTTGGTATGTGTGCACAGGGGTTGCTCTATATACTGAGCCAAAAAGGTGGTAAACATGGGTGATGGAATTCACACAGCTCAAGTGTTTTGTTGAGTTCACTTTAATTCATCTTAAATTTCTGATCGTTTTCAGAGGATCTTTAGTGCTAATACAACGATTTTAAAGTGGCAAAACAGAGAACTGAGAGCATTATTCATTGAAAATAAGAAATTCACCCCCCCCCCCCAAAAAAAAAAAAAAAAAAATATATACATACAAAAGAAATGTGAGTAGAAAGAAATTGGCTAAAGGATAATGAAAATGGTATATCAATCTATAAAAGAAGTAAACTATTTTGAAATGTTAACACAATAAAAATAAAAAGGTTTCAGTGGACTGAAGAGAAGCTGTCTGACTGTGGATGATTAGATGAAAATAATGTTCAGGGATGAATCACAAACATGCATTAAGTGAGCTGATGCTCAAAGATGGCTGCCTGTAGACGGTAAGGCAATGTCCACTGTCATTCACTGCTTGTCATCTAAAGATGTACATTTCCATCAACTGAAACTACATTACATAGCAATGTCTTTTAGATGGTAATGCATCTTTTTTCAAAGCTAAACACAATAAAACATTTTTAAAGAAGTGTCATAACTCAATAATAGCCAGTGAGTGTGAGTGATTAAATGTGGTGATAAAAGTTTTAATTCAGTTTTATTTTACAGATTTGATGTCAGAAGATTTTTGAGAAAATCTGAATGTGTTTGACAAATATGATTGCGTTTCATTATTGATGTTTGTGGCTCATAGATTTCAAGTTGACAGAAATGACAGAGGAAATGATATTTTTTCATTTATTAAAATGCTTCCTTCCATGTAATTAAAAAAAAAAATCTCACATTAGTAAATTTTATGGATATTTTCAAATCTAGAATATGATGCTGTTCAACTAAAATAGTGATTATATAATAAATATTAGGTATTTTCTATTAACTGAAATTCTTAAATAAATATTTTTGGAACATGTTGAATCACAGTCCCTACCCCCCGGGTTTAAATGGATTAAAGGTAAACTAAACCTTCAGCAAGCAATAGATTTTTGTAATTGGCAAAGCAAACTAAAAGCTAAGTGAATATTGACCAGCAGTAAAATAAGAAACACACACACACACACGCACGCACACACATTCCTTTGTTTTCCCTATTGTAACAGCAACAGTTTGACAAGAAATGGTTTATTTTACCAACCTGTATTATGTCAGTGCTTCAATTTTTTTTACAGTTAAGATAGTAAAATATTATTTTTAATCTTATTTTAAAGTGTGTGAGAAAGCAAATCAAGTTTTCACCCGATTATGTATTTTTATATTTTAGGTTGGAGATATTGTAGAAGTAAAGGAAGATGAGACCTTTCCCTGTGATTTAATACTGCTGCAGTCGAGCCGAGATGATGACACTTGTTTCGTTACTACAGCAAGTCTGGATGGAGAGTCCAACCATAAAGTAAGATGCACTGCTCTGCATACATTAGTGGTATTTTAATCAGATTTTTTTTTTAGCTGGGGGGGGAAAAAGTAAATAAAATACATTTTTCATTTTATAAACTGTTATTATAAATGTTACAATACAAAATATTTTGTTTTCCTGTAAATAAATTGACCAATTGTCATTGTTGAAGAGAAACCTTGTATCTCCAAAAATACAACTTTTCTATAAAAGAAAAAAAAATCTTAAAATGTGTTGAAAAATAATTATACATTATTCTTTATAGGTGTGTTGACTGTTACATAAAGAAAAAGCTTTATTTTGCACATACAACTTTGTTCTCAAGAAGAAATATGGCCCATTTTGTAACATTTTGCTACTAAGAGCAATACTTGATACTAAAAGGAGTTCCAAAGTTGTCAGAAGTTTTTTTTTTTTTTTAAATACTTTTGATAGGATCATCACAAATTCATAAATGTGAAGGGTAACCATAGAAAAAGTTTATTCAAAAACATGAAAATAATGAAAAATGGAGATGAAAAGTGTTGGATAATTTAATTTTCCTATCATCAGCCCATTAAATAAATAATTCACACAGAAAAGGAGAAGAAATGTTTTCTTCCCAGGTTTAATAAGGTTTAATCTTCGTCTCCAAGTCTGCTCACAGACAGTATAAGGAAGTGTCTTTTTATAATGGTTATCAGACAAAGGCGAGGTCAGATAACTCTGCTTTCCAGCTTAGGGCCTTGAGTTTATCAGGTGGAAGGCTCCATGCTTCTGCAGCTCCACTTTGCAAAGACAAAACAACTCGACACACACACATAGTTATACAATTTATATAACATATGACATTAATAAGTGAAAAACATCTATGACCTTTATATCTCCAACAAAAAGCTGTTGCTTGAAAGTGACTATATTCAATTTATTATGAAGTCATTTAGGATGGTTCGGTGGAATTAGAAACTTTATATATGTTATAAGTTTTTAAAGATAGTGACCATCTTTGATTTTTAATCTACTTAAAGTCACTGAATAGCCTAGCTTCAGCATATTTAAAGCAACTTATTATCCTTTACAACACAACTGGAACACTTGGCCCGCAGCTTGCAGGTCTTTTAGTCGTTCCAAAAGTCAACAAAACTAGAAATGGAGAGAGAACATTTTGTTTTCAGGCTCTCCTTCTCTGGAGTTAACTTCCTGCTTCATTAAGAAACACAAACACTCTGCTTTCAAAACCAAGCTTATTTATAAAACAGAGCTTATTTTTTTAAATATAAATCTCTACAGTCATAGTGTTTTATTGATTTACTTGTTTTGAAATATTTTATCATGTATTATTTTGCATTAATTTGATCTTGTTTGCTATTATTCCATTTTTATCGCATTTTAAAAAGTGCAAATGAAGTCGAGTTAAAAGACGTTTCTCAGCTGTGCTGGTTTTTTTTTTTTTGTCTTTTTGTGTTTTCTAAGTTTGTTAAATCATCTCATTTTTGTCCACATAGTTTAATTCCTCGTGCTGGGTGAGAAGCCGAAGAAGAAGCTAAAATGGCCCCTTGACCTTTGTCAGTCACCCCTCACGTGCTCCATTTCTTTTCCTCTTCCAAATTTTCAGACACACTACACAGTGCCAGACATTGGGAGGGATCTGCAATCTCTCAGTGCCACCATCGAGTGTGAGCAGCCACAGCCTGACCTGTACAAGTAAGGCAATCAACATGTGGTCTCAACAGGTTTGCACCACAAGCATGTGTTGCATGTTTGTTGGACTGACGCAGCTGACATCACTGGAAAATCTTACCATGGGTGCTGTTGGCTATAATCAACATCAAGTGTATTAATATTGATTGTGGGCCTTTGGGTTATATTTAGATTTGTAATATTAATACACTCAGTGGACAGAATGATTTGTCGACTTGAAATCTGCTCTAGTAAGACTGAATAATAAGCAAATATTATGCTAAACAGATATTGCATGTACCTTATTTTGTTCCAGGTTTAATGGTCGTATGCACATCTGCAAAAACAATCAGGAGCCTGCAGTGAGGTGAGAGCTCTCATGCGCAGCCATCTCAACCCACTTTAAATGAGAGCAACATCAAAACACAGTTGCTTAAGTGCTCATTTGTTTCCTTTTGCATCTGCAACAAATCACTACACTATTGATCTTTCATTGCAGACAAGCATTATAAAAACAGACTGGTGGGGATCTAGCCTCTGGTTCCAAAACTCTCCCACTGGCATTTATCATTGACTACTTTGTAATGACAGTATAAACAAATGGCCATTGTCCTTCTCAAGAACACTGGGAGGATGTAGGGCTGGACTGCTGCTGCACTGTCACTGTATATGTTAGAGTAGATGCCAGATTGCCTGCCAGGTTTCCATTTAACGAATGGAGGGTTGTGTGGATTGTATATCTCCTGTATGACTGCACTTTTTTTTTATCTACTGATGTGATTGTCCAGGTCCTTGGGCCCAGAAAACCTACTGCTGAAAGGAGCAACTTTAAAAAACACTCAGAAGATTTGTGGTGAGTCAAAGGATAATGCAATAATTTACTGAAAATTGTTTACTATGAAAAAGAAAAATGCAAATTCTTCTTTTTTTCATGTTTTTGCTTGCAGGTATTGCAGTTTACACTGGCATGGAAACAAAAATGGCTCTTAACTACCAGGGAAAATCTCAAAAACGTTCTGTTGTGGAGAAGTACGTTTAGCACAATTGCTACAGGCAATTAAAAAAATATTTGTTGTAGTTTTTGTAGTCCTTACTTTGTTCTCCTTTATGTTTAGGTCCATCAATGCCTTCCTTATAGTTTACCTTTGCATACTGTTAAGCAAGGCGCTTGTGTGCACAACACTTAAATATGTTTGGCAGAACAAACCCGGTCAGGATGAGCCGTGGTACAACGAGAAGACCCTGAAGGAGAAAGACACAAATCTGGTAAGCTTGAATTTAATTTTAAAGAGTGTAATAATGCATGCCTAAAGTGAGAATGGAAGAAATGGCACTCATTGAAAAATAGCTCATGACCTTTGAAAAAGTTATTTCAATTTCAATATACAATATATGTGGTGGCACAGAGGTTAGAGAAGGCAGATCTGTGATCAGGAGGTCGATGGTTTGAATCCCTGACTGTTGCATCAATATGTGGGTGGGAAAGGTGAAGCACCCACACCTGCCTCCACCCTAATTTGTCTCACTCTGGGACCTTGAGCAAGTCCATTAATGGGTGTATAGTGGGTATATTGGTAGAAGGATGTTAGAAATGCAGCTGCCAGGAAAAAAGACAAAGAGGAGATATATGATGCAGTTAGAGAGGACATGGAGGTAGTTGGAGGACAGAGGATGCAGAGGACAGACTGAGATGCAGGAGGATGACTCGCTGTGGAGAACCCTGAAGAGGCAAAAGCCACAAGAAGAGGAGGATAGGTGTACAAATGACTACTGCTCAAATAAAAACATATTGGTAATAAACATGTTTATTTTACTTTGCAGTGAATCTTTCTCAGATGATGGAGATTCATGGAGTTTTGAACACATGACAAAAAAGAGGTTTTCTCATTGTCCAGCCAAGCCTAGATTGTTTTTGTTTAATCGATTTTACTGCCTTTATCTTTGTTTGGAGCTAGTTTAGTGCAGCGAGATCTGGCGTTTGACTGATTTGATATCTCTCCAAACAGAAATTATCTAACAAGTTTTGGCACATAATCAAATAATATTAGTTATCTAGCAGCAAAGTAAGCCACGATGCACACTACCTGCACTATTAGACCATCTTTATGAGTCGTTCCAAGTTCTTCTTCTTTTATTGTTTATTTATCTCAATTACAAATCAAATAATGTAAGTTTAAAATTGGTCCAGTCTTTTAAAGTTTTGTTCTGAATTTCTGAATGATTTGAGCCATTTGGACAAACTGTGTCTTCTGTCTCTGAGGTAATTTACTGCCTCCAATTGATTAGTATTGGTTTTAAAAACCTAGATAGGGTCAGGTTTTCAGTATTTAAGAGCTCTCTGACTGGATTTTGACCACTTTCATTTAACTTTTATGTTTTTCTCTTTTTTCCCCTCAACAGTACTTAAAAATGTTCACAGACTTCCTGTCCTTCATGGTCCTCTTCAACTTCATCATTCCGGTGTCCATGTATGTCACAGTTGAGATGCAAAAGTTTTTAGGATCCTTTTTCATCACTTGGGACAAAGATTTTTTTGACCCTGAAATTAAAGAGGGCGCACTGGTCAACACGTCGGACCTGAACGAGGAGTTGGGACAGGTCAGGAACTACAAAATCAAAAAAGAAGTTTTCCTTTCATGAAGTGAAATATTTGCTTCTGTCCTGATTTTGCACTTAATTTTTTTACTATTCTACCATTAACTGATAAAAGCAAGGCGATTTTCACTGGAATTAATTAGTGTTAAAACCTGTTACACGAGAATCACAATTTTTATGATTTAAGAGGGTTTGTTTTAGTTTAAATTTTTTCTTGATCAAATTTCCTGCAGGTGGAGTACGTCTTCACAGACAAGACCGGCACACTCACCCAGAATAACATGGAGTTTATTGAGTGCTGTATCGACGGCTTCCAGTACAAACATCGAGGCGCTTGCTCTGAGTTGGACGGGTTTTGTGTCACAGATGGACCAGTGAACAAACTACAGCAAAAAGCTGGCAGGGTGGGTGTTGTGTTGTCCCACCATCTGTTGTTAAAAGTCACACAAGCATTAACATATGGCCATTACATAGCTCATTGCTTGGAAAGACCCTTCATATGTGACCCATGTGTAGTCTCCTTGACATATTAACACATGTAGTTAACACGGAGGAGGGAGTGTATTTTTAACACCACATAAGACTTTGCAGACCGCGGCACTACAGTACTTATGGAACCAATAAAGTCATTTAATTTATGTTTGTGTTGTGTTATTAGGAGAAGGAGGAGCTGTTTCTACGAGCCCTATGTCTCTGCCACACTGTCCAGGTGAAGGAGTCCACAGAGCATGCTCATATCCATGGGGAAGATCATTTAGACCAGGTGGACGGTTTAAGGATAGATGAAGAGGTGCTTCATCCATCACAGGAAGAGAAAGGCTTCATAGCTTCCTCACCTGATGAGATTGCACTGGTCAAGGGTGCCATGAGGTAAGAAAAGGAACTGGTGCAGATTCAGTTATAAGTGAATCATATTCTAATAGCATGCATTTTGAAGTCCTGTTTCGTCGGCTAATATTTTTATAACATTCTTCCATTAAGCATAAGCAGCTGTAAGTAGCACATTTGTAGTAATTTGTCTCCATCTGCAGGTATGGATTCACATTCCTGGGTCTAGAAAGTAAAACCATGAAAATTCTTAACCGAAATAAAGTAATTGAAACGTAAGTCATCAAATTACGCAATAGAAACTTTTTGTTTGTGACCATACTTTTGTTAGTTAAATTTGCGATGTCTGAACCAATTGTGTCTGTTTGTTTCTCCCAAAGGTATGAGCTGCTTCATGTGTTGAACTTTGACCCCGTGAGAAGGCGAATGAGTGTGATTGTCAGATCCAGATCAGGTGAGTAGTCACATTTATTGCATCAATTCTCAAATTGTTCTTTGCTCTTATGGGGCTGTTTTCTGCATCATTGTGTATTCTTTGTTTCAAGGTGAAATTTCGCTTTTCTGTAAGGGAGCAGACTCCTCAATCTTCCCTCGAGTCAGGCAGGAGGAGGTGGAAAGGATACGAATGCACGTAGAACGCAATGCAACAGTGGGTGAAAATAATCTGATATTCTCATCATCCAACCAGCCTTGATGGATAATTTATTGTTTTCTTGTTGTAACTGTTCTTATTTCAATGTTTAGGAGGGTTATAGGACACTGTGTGTGGCCTATAAACGCCTTAATGAAGAGGAGTACGCCCAGGCAGACGCAGGGCTGAGAGAAGCTAAACTGGCTCTGCAGGACAGAGAGGAGAAGCTTATGGCTGTTTACAACCAGTTAGAGACTGGAATGAGTCTAATAGGTGCTACAGCTGTGGAAGATCGGTGGGTGCAGAACCAACATGCTGAAATTAAACAACTTTGCTTTAATACAATTCTGATTTTTATGTCTTCGGTGACTTTTTATACTATAAGCATTTTCTATTATAAATGCCTTCTGTAACAGATTACTGGGAAACTATTTAGTCCCCTATCTTTATTTTATTTAAGAAGCTTGATACCCTGCATGCTCCTTTCAGAGCTTTTCTAAATGTAAGCTCACACTGCCACCTTGTGGCTGCATTTCTGTTATGCTTTACAGTTATTGGGTCATGTCTTGTTTATTATTTTCCATTTATTCCACTCCCAAAGCCTTCAAGAGGAGGCAGCAGAGACAATGGAAGCTCTGCAGGGAGCAGGTATGAAGGTTTGGGTTCTAACGGGGGACAAGATGGAGACGGCGAAGTCCACCTGCTACGCTTGCGGATTGTTCCAGAAGAGAACAGAACTGTTGGAGCTAACTGTGCGCACTCTAGAGGAAGGAGGGAGGAAACGTGAAGAGCGCCTCCATGAGCTTTTATCAGAGTATCATAAGAAAGCTGTTCAGGATGCGCCACCAGTGAAAGCAGGCGGCAGCAGGTTTGCTCCTTGACTTACACAGTTATGAAGATTACTTCTGTAACAGAATATTAAAGTTTTGTTCATAGTTAGGCCAAGCTTAATCTTCGTGAGCTTTGAGCTCCAACTCATTTCTTCTCCTCTTCTGTGTTTCAGAGGGCGTTTTTCAGCCAACCAGGATTATGGGTTTATCATTGATGGAGCGTCCTTATCCATAGTGCTCAGCTCATCCTCTGAATCCAACTCAAGTCTCTACAAGGATTTGTTCCTGCAGATATGTCAAAACTGCACAGCTGTGCTTTGCTGCCGCATGGCTCCCCTGCAGAAGGCACAGGTCAGAATCACTTCAAATGTGTAAACCTGTTCCTTTTTTTATTAAAGTTATCAGTTTTAACAGTGAACACTTGGTTACACGTGTTTTGATGTATTTTTAGATTGTTAAAATGGTAAAAAATCTTAAAAGCAGTCCAATCACACTTTCCATTGGAGACGGAGCCAATGATGTCAGTATGATTTTGGAAGCTCATGTTGGCATTGGTAAGAGTTTAATTGTCTCTAAATAATAGTAATCTTTTGGTGATGGTATTGTGACTTTCTTTTTAATTACTCATACATTTCAGGCATCAAAGGTAAAGAAGGTCGGCAGGCAGTGAGGAACAGTGATTATGCTATCCCCAAACTCAAGCACCTCAAGAAACTTTTGTTGGCTCATGGGCATCTTTACTATGTTCGCATCGCACATCTGGTACAATATTTTTTTTACAAGGTAAGATAAACCAATACTTTTTTCTTGCGTCCTGTGAATCGAGTGTCAACAAAACTTTGTTTCTAATGAAGGAACACAGATTTCTTAGATTTATTTTTGTCTTTGTAAAGAAATTTTCAATTGACATCAGCCACTTTTTATATTTTTATTCTAATATTCTTTTTCTTCTTTTGCCCACAGAATCTTTGCTTCATTTTACCCCAGTTTTTGTACCAGTTCTTCTGTGGCTACTCCCAACAAGTGAGTATGTCCTAAATCACATTGATGTTTCGAAATATTCTGAGGATTCAAGGAAAGCAGTACGCCTTTAATTCGTAACCCCTAATCCTCCAAAATCCTCCAGTCTTTCCCTTTAAATCGCTCCTTCCTCCCTGCTCCTGGATGTTTGAGCTCTGTTGAAAGAAGACAGACCTGTCATAATTTGATGCACATAAATTAGATGCCATCTTTAGCACATGTGCATGTTGGAAAACTAATTAATACAACTACTATGCAGTAAATAACAGAATTGGGCCTTATTTTGTGCAGTTGATAAAATGTGTGAAAGCTATGTTATGTTTCAGGGTATGGTTTCTTGTGAATTTCAGATCACTGTTTGAAATTCTCTTATATGTCACCTGGCATAGCTCTTTCATAAGTTCATGAAAGATATGTACAATCTGTGTTGAAGTTATGCTGGTGTGTATGAATTTAGTCCTCATAGTAATAATCCCTGGTTGCCCCATTCCTCCTCCTTCCTCCCTCCCTGTACCTTCAATCCCTCCTCCTGCTCCCCTCCCTCTCAGCCCCTGTATGATGCGGCCTATCTGACGATGTACAACATCTGCTTCACCTCTATGCCCATCCTGGCTTACAGCCTTTTCGAACAGCACATTTGCGTTGAGTTTCTCCTACAAAATGCCGACCTATACAGGTAATTTATTAGATTTCCCCCGTTAAGGAGCACTTTATTAAACTTCATATAAAAATAGCATTATTAGAAATAAAAATGAATATTTTGTTTGAAATTTAGATTATTTTTCCATAGAATAATGGTGGTAAAATGCAGCAAAATGCATTAAAGTGCTTTCACAGTTGATAAATTTATAGATTTTTGACTAAAGGGATTTTTATCCAGATAATAATAACATTGGAAAAGCTTAAACATTTGTTTCTAAAATGTAACATTTTGTGTGTTTTTGTTAAAACACTTCAAATTTCTTATTTTGATAAGTAATGTTATTAATGAAGAAATATAAAATAGTGTTTTTCATATATTTTCTCTGGAATTACTCATTTTGTATTTTAGGGAAGTTGCAAAGAATGCCATGTTGCGATGGGAACTTTTCCTCTACTGGACCCTACTCGGAGTCTTCCATGGCTTAGTGTTCTTCTTTGGTGTTCAGTTTCTGTTCAGTAACCCAGCCTTGCAGGACAATGGCCAGGTTTGATTTTGCTCACCTTTTTAAATGGATGTGAGATTACAAGTTTCCCACCATGCCTTCTCACTCTCATCTTTTGTTTTTGAATCCAGGTTTTTGGGAATTGGTCGTATGGGACAATTGTATTTACCGTCCTGGTCTTCACTGTAACTTTAAAAGTGAGTCATGTACAAGTTTGTAGCTTTCAAGAAAACAAAAACAATGCATCTTACTCCAACAATTTTCAGTCAGGTCATCTGGACAGTTGATTTTTTTGTGCTGAAACGTTTCACCTTCCATCCAGAAGGCTTCATCAGTCAAGGAAACGCACAACACAAAACTGATTCTTCCCCCAAACATCTTACTCCAAAGTGGAACAAATCAGTTATGTTGGTGCTAAGATGGTGTCTTTGGCACGCCCCCTCCTCTTGTGCCGGCCCTCTTCCTGGTCGACAGTCATGTCAAACTGATTCAAAACCAAAAAAGTCCATGCTCAATAATCCAGGTTTGTTTGTTCCACTTTGGAGTAAGCTGTTTAGGGGAAGAATCAGTTTTATGCTGTTTCCTTGATATATGAAGCCTTCTGGATGGAAGGTGAAACGTTTCAGCAAAAAGAAGAAACTGTCCAGATGACCTGACTGAAAATTGTTGGATTGTATACATGGATTATTGAGCATGGACATTTTTAGGTTTTAATGCATTTTACTAAACATTAACTTTTTGTGTTAATGAGTTCTTCTCATAAGCTTGAAGTGACTTTTCTTACCCTTTTGCAGCTGGCTCTGGACACACGGCACTGGACGTGGATCAACCACTTTGTAATCTGGGGTTCTTTGGCCTTCTACGTATTTTTCAGCTTTTTCTGGGGAGGAATAATATGGTTAGAGAATATTTTAAGCTAAAATATCCAAACTGTTCATTATAATTAACCATATTATCGTCAGCTTTTGAAGAATGATTTTACTGAGGTGTTTCCTCTTCTGCAGGCCTTTTCTGAAGCACCAGCGTTTGTACTTTGTCTTTGCCAACATGCTGAGCTCAGTATCAGCATGGCTCGTCATCATCTTGCTCATACTGCTCAGCCTACTGCCAGAGATCCTGTTCAAGGTGCTCCGCAAGCCCCGGGGACCCTACGCTCGAAAGGTACAGCTGAAATACACGTACATGAACATGTACTCACACTGTTCTTTAGAATTCTCTTTTGTAATGCATACATGCTCGTTCCATACTATAACAGTGTAACCATTTGTTTCCTTAACTCTGTTGTTGCTTTTTGAAGTAGAACTTTTAAGTCACTTTGAATAAATTTTAAGAGATTGATTGCACAGATTTATGATTGTTGTTTACAGCTTTATTATTCCACAGATGCACACTTAACAAATAATCCATTAAATTATTCCGATATACATAGAAGAATAATACAAGTATATATATATATATATATATATATATATATATATATATATATATATATATGGATGTCTACAGACTTGGATCGGTTATAGTATGACATAATTTAATGTAAGTTTTAGGAATTTATCGGCATGGTATCGGTATCGGCCAATATTAGCGATAAAGTTAAATTTCAGGCATCAGCCATTCCTTCAAAATAACTCACTGATATTAATATCTATTATCAAATATATTTTAACATTTTATAAAGAGCAAAGAAAGAACGGTAGGAAGAACAAAATAATAAAAAATTAAAGCCATTCTCAAAATGTATCTTTGTGTAACAAAATGGTCTTGGAAATGTTGGTTTATGTATTTTTATTTCCTTTTAGAATATTTGCTTGAATGACCAAAGGAATCTTTTACAAATGTTATTTGAGTTTTGTTAATTTAATTTGTTTCCAATAGATGTAGCTGGATGTATTTGTAACTTTGTGAAGCCTTTTGTGTTTCCCACTACATTAATTATTTTATAGGCCTAATTGAAAAGTAAGGTAGCAGGTTTTTGGCACACAGGAAGCTCAAAATGTATCTGTTTGCTAAAGTAGACCACTTACAGGAATGTTTGAGCTTATCAAATAATTCTGTTTTGCAGGGAGTCATGGAGCTCAAGAACTTGCTGAATGAGTAGATGTTTTTGTTGGTTAAAATACTGTAATTGTCAAGTTCTCTCTTCGTTGTTTTATTTAAAAGACTAGAAAAGTTTGTCTTCTCTATTTTATGTTCCTAACTTCCAGTTTTGCCCTTTGACACATTCTTATATCTTAATTATCCCTCTTATTTTTTCTCTCCTTCTTTCTGGACTGTCCTCCTTTAAAGATGAAGCATCGCCTTCCGTCCTCGGGGACATCCACTATCTTCATGTTGTCACAGACCACTAGCACTCACAGCTTCTCATGGAGTGACTAAGGTCTCCTTTTCTCTCTCTGTTAATTTCACACTATATTCTTCTTGAAGAAAGTCTGTTTGCTTGGAAACTTGCTCGTTTCTTACTCACTGTGTCCTTCCTCTCTCACTATCATACCACTTCCCTACTCTGCAAATTAATTAGAGCTGGCATTCTGAATTCAATGCTCCCAAGTCTCTAGTTTTAAACTTTTACTTTTATTTGATTAAATTGGGAGGAATGGCACGCCCCCAGCTCTGTCTGCAGTGTGGATGAAGACAGGGTGTCTGTGCTGAGATTGTGCAGTCTGTCCTCCATCCTTGTCTGTCCTGTTGTATTGGTCCAATGTCTTCCTCCAGCTGCCTGTGTTGCTCCAATGCCTGCTGCCTCCGCATGTCCAGTCAGGTGACCGCAGCACATCAAGCATCCAACTTAACAGCATGAGGCTCAAGTCCACAACCTCATCCTGGAACCTAATCTCTTCAGGCCTCTGCACTTGTTTCTGTTTGTGTGTTTTAATTTGGAGAAATCTATGAAAACAACAACAACAGCAAAAACAGATCTTCCTTTGTAGACCAGTTAATTAAAAATATGTCACTGAAAGGTGTTATTCTTTGAGAAAGGTGTCTAGAAAGGCACACAAACTATTTTTCATCTTCCACCCATCCAGTATTACAGTCTTTGTGTTTTTGTTTATATGTATGTTTGTGTGCAAGAGCAAGCACCATACAGAGAAGGAAGTGTGTATCAGTGTAGTGAAGTCAACGGTGTCTTTTGCCTCACCTTTCTAGAAGAAGATGGTTCAGTCGAGCGCAGGGGGCCTCCAGTCTCCCCAGTCGCCAGTCAGGCCCCTGCTCATGAGAACCTTTTCAGATGAGTCCCATACTGTCATTTAAACAGGTACTAGTCCACTTTCAGGCCATTTAAGCCAATCAGTGACTCGCCTCCCCAGTGAACCAAATCTTTTTCCTAGCTCTGAGTTTTAACAAAACTAAATCAATAACACATTCATGCAGATGCCATTTTCAAGGAGGCAAAATGTCTTATTTGTTGTCTAAGTTGGTACAGGCTGGCTGAAGAGATGCACTGTTTACATATTTCTCACTTTGAATCAACACATTTATAGGAAATGGTCAAATGGAGCATTTATTTAACATGTGAATGCATCCCAAGACCCCAAGTTATTGTTCAGACACATGCACCTTTCAGCCTCCCTTTGTATGCCTAGCTTATACATTTTGCATGAGCTTCTCACCCCCCTTTTTTTGGGCATTTTTTTTATTTTAGTTTTGTATTTTCTAGTTTTGGCTGAGTGTGACATGTCTGTTTCTGTCTTCCTTTGTGGTAATGTCAGGTGGTCTGAGGTTTTTCTTCATTTTCTCTCATTTTGCCATTTGGGGTGTTGTGGTTTGATCGTTTGTGTTTTCTTTCCAAGTGGTTTTTAGTTGTCCGTTTTCTTTCATTGCAAGTTGGATTGCTGTGCTCAAGCTTAGTGCACGATGTGGCGCTGATGTAGCCTCTGCTTAAATGCTGCTGCATTACAGGGGGCAGAGGAGAAAAATTTAAACATGAAGCTAAACGTATATAATAATAAAAAAACATTCCAACATATAAATCATCAAATCAAAGTTTTAATAAATCTGCCCCCTGGAGGCATGCTCTGGAGACTGGTCCCACCATACCTTCACTCTTCACCTGTATCACAGGATGTCTAAAAGTAGCGCACAGCTTTTTGCAACATTTCACTTTTAACCTGGATTTCCATTTTCCCTATAGCTGTCAGACGGTGACCTCCTGCAAACGTCCAGGTAAACCTCAAAGACAAAAACCTAACGCTGTTTTAAGTCTGTCTGCTGAGCATCAACAAATCAAGATGGGATTATTTCCTTTACTAATGTCTGTTAACTGTGTGTGGAAGGGAAGCGGTACTTATTGTGGCTTTTCTGTGTAGTGTTAATCACGGTTGTTTCTCATAATTTGAGATTATGATTTCAGGTCTTTTCCTCCATCATTTCTAGCTCTCAGTGACGGCATAAATGAAAGTATTTGTGCTTGTGTTGTTTCCAGATTGCTGCCGTCACACCGCTTTCCTATAAGAACCTGAAGGAGCTCCATTGAAAGGCAGCCAGGACTCGCCACTGGAATTAGCCTCATTCAGGTTTTTGTGTGGATTAAAGGAGGTGGAGAAGAGGAGGGATCAGAAGACTAGTGATTTTGAGGATAAGATGAAATGGTCTGGAAATCTGTGAACTGTTTCTTATCCATCTTTTTCTGCCCAACGCATGTCTGCAGAGCAGTGCCCTGCATAATTTTATAAAGTACCAACCGCAGTGACTGACATGAGATTTCTTCCTTTCACGTTTTTTTTGTTTTTAGCTTGCAAATGAACGCATACATGTCTGCCTTGTCAATAGCTCTTTCCAACACTTTGTATCAACAAGCAGTTGTAAATCCACTCAAAGAATGGTACATCTGCATGAAAAAAAGTCTCAGAAGAACACCACACATGTTCAGTTATTGTTTTCTGCAAACATTTTAATTCTATTTATACATTTTTTTTGTTGTTTGTTTTGTTATTTTTTACATAAAAAATATCTACAAATCTGAACCATTCCAGATAAAAGTTACTGAATGAAGTTTCAGTCCAGCTTGTGCTTGACAGCTGCACGCAGACTGTTAACGGGTTGATGTTTATGTGATTTTGTCATTGCAATGACAAAACTGATATCTGTATTGGATACAAGTGGGTTTATTAGAGGCCATATTACCACTGAATCCAAAAAGTGCGTTTGTGTGTAAGATTGAGCGATAGACTTTAATCTTTAACACTTTGTCTTTGGCGATGAAAAATTGTTAAGCTTGTGATTAATTCTTCCAAACTCAGAGATAATTTAAGACATAGAAATTAATATATATGTTCAAAAATATTGCACATCTACTCAAAAATGGATGAAAGTGCATTATTTATAGCTTATTTTATAATATGCTCAATGCCAAAAAGATGAATGCAGTGCAATCGGATTGCGTCCACACAAATATGACCTTAAACTGAAAGGCCTGTGTGTGTGTCTGTGTGTTACATAGATGTATTTGGATTAGAATATACAAATACCTGTGTGAAATGAAAACCAAATTTACTTGAATTTTGTTCATTTGGGTTGGTTAGACATTTTCTGCACTATTAAGGTAACTGGTTTCTTTCTGTTTATGATCATTAAGGCACATTATATATGCCTGAACACACACACTATTAGTTAGATAAGAAGCAATCACACAACCAGTAACCCACATGCGTCCTACACATCCTACACATTAATGCACTCATAAAGTCTAAAGAAAGATGTTTAGTTTAACTGTTAATCTTGTGTCTCGTAAAACAAAATCAGAGTGTGAAATACTTCCATATTTGCAGAATCTGAAACGTTAAAGCCACTGTGAGCATCTGCTTCACTGTTTCTGATCAGAGCAGCAGGTTGATCACATCAACTGTTCACCTTATTGTTCTTAAACAGTTTATGTTTAGTGCTTATACATTCCATTTAAACACAATTTCTGACAACTCTTTTGTAATATGATTTTTTTTCCACAAGCATATATCTATCTACTTGCCATATTTATTAAGTGTATTTTACTCACAGAAGTTATATTTTTCTTACATGAACCTTTTTTTTAATATAATGTTCAGCTTTGTGTCAGTTAAGTTTGTATGTTGTGTTTGGAGAAGGTACTGATCCCATTCAACAATTTTTGTTGCATTGACAAAGATGGGCAGCCCCTCCAACATTTTTCCAAAATCTCAAACTGATTCAATGTCGGTCGTTTGTCCACCGACCTCACCCTAGATTGAAACTGATTTGTGTCTCAACTCTTGTTTTAAAGTCTGGCAGTGCAGCAACATTTTTTAATTTACTACTTTACTGATGATTACAAAATGTCTAGCAAGTTCTAATTACTAAAGCGTGACAATAAATATGAATTAAATGTTTAGAAACACAAATTTACTACAAAAATTGAATTTGAGCATTGGCTTCTGCATTACTCAAAGCTGAAAATTACACATTCTGCTAAGCTAATTTTACTAGAAAGTGGTGAAAGGTTATTTTTCCATTCTGATACTTTACGTTCACATGTTGTCGTGTGTGAGATGTTGAATGTAAAAAATCACAGACTGGGGCTGCCTGCTTTGTTCACAAGTAAAAGAACCTTTTAAGTCTCATCAGAAATGCTATTTTCAGAGCTTAAAATATGTTTAAAACTAATATTTTGCCTGTCTAAATTAAAAGTTAAAAGGAACGGATTGTATTTTTAATGCTAACTTTTTTCCCAGACACTTTTCTATTATACATACTATATATATATATATATATATATATATATATATATATATATATATATGTGTACAACTTCTGAGAAGCTGGGTGGAGTTGGACACTTTCTGGCACCTCAGGCAGGGGGATACCTTGCCAACTCCAGTATTTTCGAGTGTCCAGCTTCATCACTCCAAACCTCTAAGCTGAATGTATCTTTAAAACTCGTATATTCAAAAACCTGATGATTTTCTGAAATAAAGCAGAATGTTTTAAAGATAAATTGCCTTGTGATTTGTTAATGCCAACAGTTGTGTCAGCAGTTTCTGTCTCATAACGATCTGTGATTGTGTGGGAGATTGTGCGTGTGCACGTGCTTACATTCACACTGGGCAAATGCTGTGCAGTAATGAGATGGCTGAGAGGCTAAGCTGGATCAGCTGATTGGCTGCGTATCAGGATGGCATTCTGCTGTGCCATCGTTGCACCATGTGTGGCCTCGCATCAAGAAAACCTCAAACATTGTGAGTTGCTGCATGACAAACATTTACATACACATGTATACACACCCAGTGTCTCCAGGCTAGTCTGTATAGAGGTATTGAGCACTGATCCATTCTGAGGAGTTGTAGGCTGAGCAGTGGGAGTTTAGTTGAGAAAGGCTCACTGTAACAGTATGCACACAATGACACCCTTTCATATTTGTTCTGTGGTTTGAATGTGATTTTTGTGTTTCACATGGGCTAAACTTGCTGACAGAAGGAGAGGTAGACTTCTCTTTTTTAACAATGGATCTTTTCTCCCTTGTCTGTATTATAGTAAAGCTGGAGGAAAAAGAGATGAACATGGAAGCCAGACAGTCTAACAGTCCAGCCTACATCCAGAGCGCACAAAAGCCAAAGGACTGAAGAAGTGAGAGGAAAAGTAGGGAGGGAATTGTAAAGTAGGGAGGGAATTGGCAGTGTGTCAGGAGCAGACTCTTGGGTCTGCTCAGTGCAGAGCTGACGCACTAATTCTCACAGAGGGGAGGGGAAAGAGGCAGACAGCCGTGGCCAGATGGAGCTCTGTTTGTTTTGAAGTAGCTAACTGCTGCTGAGAGCAGCACACACTGTCCGCACTGATGTATATTAACCAGGAGGGGAAATGGACTTCACAGCCTGTCAGGGCAACAATGGGTCAACAAACTGCTGATTTATCTCTATGAGGAGAGGTCTACTGCTGTATTGTGGCTGTGGGGATCAGCTTGGAGACTTTATGCTGCTCAAGGTCAAAAGGAGCAGAAACCACCTCAGGGAACTGTCCCATCTGGATCCTGGAACCTGCCGAGGCATACCGTTTTTTTTTTTTTTTCTGTTGTAGCATCTCTTAAGTCTGTATAAACTTACACTATGAGGGGCTGTGTAACTTTAAGGACAATGTAAGGCCTGGATTTCTGTCAATGCCTCACACAAGAGTCAGTTGTCCCACCCTGATTCTGTGTCCAAAACGAAGGGAATGGGCCCAGCCTCACTGCAGGAGGAGACGGAGACGGCCATACAGTCCAAGGAGGAGATGGAGAGCTACCGCTGCCTTCTGCAGGCTGGCTCCCAGCTGGAGAGCACTCTGCAGCGTGAGTAACATGATGCTGACATACCTCTTTAAGACGATCACAGTCACAGCTGGCCTTTTGTCAATGCTGAAATAATTCCTCATTCATAATTTTACTGCACTTTGTACAACACAGCTCACTGCAATGTGAATTTCATTTAGCATAATCTACGGGGAACATTTGTAACTTCTGGGAGCTATTGCAGAAGGTAACTGGAGAACTGCATCCCGGGTTAGTATTATTGATGTACCAGTTCCTGCAGCTTTGCTACAGCAGTGGGCTATTGCAGGGATTATGTCAGCTATTTTAAGCCAACGCAGATGGATACATTTTGATTCAGTGGAATGATGTAGAAAGCATGCTTCTGTTGACGGCTCAATCAAATTTACAACGGGCAGTGGATTGAATAAACTAGATCTGTAGATCTGCCATGTTTTGAACTGAAACTTTATTGTATCTTGTAATGCAACTATATTTAGAGAGCAACAGGGAAAAAGCTCATTGCCATTTCACAATATGAACAGTGAAGGCATTATTTATAAAAACAAAAGAAAAGGCACTTCATACGAACATTGTGATCACTGAGATCTACACGTACTGCTTAAATAATGAGCCTTGGTTTCTTCATACATTTCCAATACATTGAACCAGCTCTGGTTTATAGAAGTAAGAAACAGCAGAAAAAGGACTGCTCTGAGTTTAAAATGATCAGTTTTGCTCTAGTCTTTTTAGAGGATGTTGTAGTAAACACATGCACCAAATGATCTGTTGTAGTAACCACAGAAGCATCATGTCGAAACTGCACACACACAGTCCTCCACCTTTTGCACTTCCAAAATATAATTTTAAGAAATGTCCTTCCTTGCTGTGATAAACATTCCAGCATTTTTTTTAATCTTTACTAAAAACTAATAAAATCTGACGATAAAATCCAAAAATCGATTTTTTTCCCCCCTTCAAATACCAGTTTTATGGTTTCAACTTTACCTGCTCTTAGACTGAAACTTTATACTTGCATATACGTGTTTGGGACTTTTTTTTTTTTCATGTTGTCGATTTTAATACAAAGCATAAGTCAAATAAGTGTTATGTGGAGGAAAACATACAATGTAGACCGTTTTGACCCAAGAGCAGGGAAATTGTTTTCTAATTTGAGTGATGGGCTTTGATCCCTGGAACCTTCAGCGTCAAAGTACAATACACCACACCCTAGAACAGACTCCAAGTATATTAAAGTGCTGTATATAGAGTGTAACATATAGCAGAAGCATTAGATGAGTGGGAAACATTGTGAATTGCTTTGCAGAACCTGGGTGGAGGTTAAAGTCAAGTTTCTTTGTCATTCGCACCGTGGAACAAAATTGTGAACACAGAGTCCCAGTTACATCCAATAAATGTATAAATTGTAAAGAAAAACAGTAATAAGATCTAAAATATGAACTAAGAAATACGCTAAAACTAAAAATAAACTAAGCACAAATAGTACACAGTTAACGGGTGCTGCCTAAGTGTGAGCCATATAGTAAATCTAGTAAGTCACGCATCATTCATAAAGACTTCCACCTCAGTGCACAGGAAAAGCTATTTATTCATTCATTTTTAGCTGATGCAGCAGATTAAATGAATTGGTGCAAGTATTTCTTCAAGAATAACTAAACATAAGTTACAAAATCCTTTCAACCCAAGGTACACAGATTCTTGGAAATAAAATTTACAACCATCAGTTCTGCCTAATGAAAGACTTTCAGGGCTTCTGTGTATTGTTCATCATTCAGACAATTCTAATCTAAAACCAGACAAACTTTTGTGTCCAAGTGGGTACAAAACACTATTTTCTCCCACCCACTTCTGCCAGAATCTCGCCACCCACCAGTTTAATCCCCACAGTGTTTAAGACTTTGTGTAGCAAAATACCTCATGACCTAAAAGCAGCATGACACCTCAGCCTGTGTTTTACAGAAGTGTTTCTATGTGTAAGAAAGGATCTGTGGCCTTTCAAAGCATTACACAAGTCTGCATCTTTTGGGACACCAGAAACATTAACACTGTATTAATGGGTTTGCACACTACATATTTTACAATGCCTACTGCAAGTCTATTTTATAGTCAATATATTGGTGGAGACATTTTCTAAAACATTCACTGAATTTCAACGTTCATGCTCAATAATCCAGGTAAAAAATCCAACAATGCTCAGTCAGGCCATCTGGACTGTTTTTCTTTTCTTTTTCTTTTTTTTTCCCCTGAGATGTTTCGTCCTTCATCCAAAGGACGTCATCAATACTAGGAGCCACAAAAAAACTGAGTCCCACAAGGAGCACATTCCCATAGTGGAAAAAACAATTGGCTGGTGATAAGATGGTTTCTGGGGCCTGCCCTCTCCCCTGTCAACTCCTCTGAAACAGCAATGCCAAAGTGACAATTAATTAATGTTAAGACTCTTAACATTTGAATTTATTGTACCCTTCTTTTAATTTTTTCATTTTACAGTAGTCTCTCACCTATTGCGGGGGGTTACGTTCCAGACACCCCCGCGATAGGTGAAAATCCGCGACGTACGGACATTATATTTATTTTAGGATTTACATATATATATATATATATATATATATATATATATATATATATATGTGTGTGTATTAAGACTTTATAAACCCTTCCCACACTCTTGCAATGTTCTTAACAATGTTCTAAACTCTTAAGCTTACGTAATTTTAGCAACATACATATATGTACTGTACAGTACTGCTAAACTGTATATGGGTTCTAACCAGTGAAGATACTACAACTTGAAGGATGAGTTCAGCTTCAGGATTATTTGCAACTTTCCTGCCAGTTCTGTGATCTTAGATAGATGGTTACTTCTGACCTTGCATTGCAAAACTATTTTTATCACGTCAGTTTCTTCACTAGTGTTTGCTCCCTCCATTGCTGTTTTTTGAAGCCGGAAGCACTGTTGGCTTTTGGGCCGTGTAGTTCTTTTGACTTGCATTACAGTATAGGCTTATTGAAAGAAAACTACAAAATGACAGCTCCTGTCTGAAGCACAGTATATACTTTTTTCATTTTTTTTTGTCCTATTGGCTTGTTCCCGCTCCCGTTAACTTTTTATCCTGTACCGTCTCAGTCATGTGGGTAATATTAAAGTTGGCAATCTTGTGTCGTGTACAATCTTGCGTTGAAAACCTGCGAAACGGCGAGTCCGCGAAAGTCAACCCGCAAAGTATCGAGGGACTACTGTTCTTTTAATTTTCTTTCACTTATGATCAAATGATTTTTAATTTCTTTATAAAACAAACAAAAAAAAACAACTTTTATTGTGGGTGAAAACTTGTTAAAGGTGCTGCATGTGATTTAATCTCTGTGGATGGTTATCAGTGTTTGGACAACAACGATAAGCTCTGCCTTCAGCTTTGTAAGCACACGGAAGGGATTGGTCCGAGTCAAATCATGTTTCCATCAACTCTGGCAAACATTTCTCTTTCTCTCTGTATGTAAGAGCAGGAGCGCAAACAGAGCCTGTTTGACTTTCAGCTGTACACACTGTCCTGCACGTGTCCTGCAGAGGTCATGAAGCATGTTCAAAGACTTCCTAAAAGAAATGGGTTCATATTTAGATTAACTACTGTAAATGATGCTTCTCCTTGAGTCAGGCTTTCAGGATGAATGGCACACAAGATAACCAACCAATCATGAGACGGGCTGGGAGATTTTCAGGGTCAGCGAGGTTGCAGCGTTTCCACAAATTTGCAGGTTTATTAAACCAACTACAGTTTGTCCCACAGGGTAGCCTTCCTTTGATTCAATTTAGTAGAGGTTTACACTTTCATGTGTATATTAGGCTGACATCATGTTTAAGTGCTTAAAAAAACTGCTTACAAAGTTTGTTATGCGTTTATTATTGTTTTACACACCTCTGCAACCCGATGCTTTAATTTATACAGGATTGTACAATCTTCTCCCTCATGCAGGAAAACATCCCTACACACTGCAGTTACAGCAGCTGATAAAGTGCCTTGACTTTGTTTAACATCTGTTAATTTAAGACTAATCTGAACCCCCTGAATGTCTTCTGCCGTTAGGTTTTAGTGATTATAAAGCTATTCGAGTGTGACAGTAACTCTATCCTGGATCTGTGTGCATAGTTAAGTTATCTGGGCTCTGGCTTGGTTCAGCTCCTCTCTGTTACACATCAAATATTCAGCAAGTATCGGTGGAGCTTATTACTTGCTCCCTGACACGCAGCATTAATGCAGCATGCTCATGGAAAACAACTCCTCATTTGCTCTTTTTTTTCTCCATTATTTTTATCTCTCTGCACCAATTATTTATTTATGAGCAAAGGATGAAATATTTGAAAATCGCTTCCTCCTTATCGGTTGCATTACTGGCTGAACAGTATGAGCACATTATCCCTTCATACTGTCAGTTCTACATGTGATAACCTTTTGAGATAAAACTAGAAAGTTAAAAGTATTCCCTTAACTAAAACCTCCATTTATCCTGTATTAGAAGCACTGTTGGTGCAAGCTGAGTACATGTTAACAAGTGACATGATACACAGTGTGTCTGCCTGTCTTTGCTGCATCCGTTTTCACATGTAAGCTCCAGATGAGCTGCTCTTAAAGAGCTGCATTTGTCTACCACTCGCACTGTAACATCTGAATTAAGTATGCCATGCAGACCTTCTTAATGCTGCTGCAACATCGATTAAGAAGCTCTACAGTGAAACAGCAATACATTTGTTTGTACTTTTTAAAAAGGATGCCATTCTTGTATTTGTATCAAATGAAACAAGGTTGCTGTCAAAAAAAGTTAAATTTATGATGAGGTTGATCCTACATGCTTTAAATCAGAGTTGATTAACTTAAAAAAGTAATTTCCATTTGGGTATAATTAACTGAATAAACTGACTTGATTTACAAACTTGTTTTTGTTCACCAATCTTCTGATTTGATATTGGTCTGAAGAAGGGCTGAAATGTTTGTTGGAGAAAAATATTCTCGCTTACGTTGTTTACTCAACAAGACCCATACTCGATGTCATGAGAGTCTGACTCAACGTGGCCCCTCCACTTGCTTTTATGTCCTTATCAGTTCAGCCGAGTTCACAGAGCTCAGGAGGTGTCCTTGGAGCCAGCTGCAGCCTCACCCAGCTCATCACCCAGCTCTCTCTACTAACCCCAACATATGGTTCATGGACAATTAAGATTCTCAACCATAGTAATGAAAACATTCATAACCTGTAACCAAAAATTCTCTGACAATGTCACATTGTTAATAAAACTTTGTACAGAAACTTTTTAGTGTGTAGATTTATTTTTTTTCATCCATATCCACCCACCCATCCATCCATTATTTTCCGCTTGTTCCAAAGTCAGGTCGCGGGGGCAGCAGCTTGAGCAGAGAGGTCAGACATCTCTTTCCACAGCCACCTCTTCCAGCTCTTCTGGAAGGACCTCAAAGCGTTCCCAGGCCAACCGAGAGATTTAGTCTCTCCAGCGTGTCCTTGGTCTTCCCCGGGGTCTCCTCCCAGTTGGACATGCCCAAACTACCTCAACTGGCTCCTCTCAATGTGGAGGAGCAGATTTTTTTTCTTTTCACTTACAATGATTGTCTTTTTGAAGGACTTACGTTTTTAGATTGCAGATAATGGTAGAATGCACACAAGCTTAGCTTTAGGATAATAAATATTTTATTTCCACATGCATTATCCATTTTCCATTTTATGGTATTGTGTATATACATATTGTTTACTTTTATTAAAAATGTGTTTTGTTCTACAGAGGTGACTGTCCCTGTGAGCCTGAAGGAGGTGGGAGGCTACATCGAGAAACAAGTGGCATACCTTTCGGGTAAGGTTTATTTATTTATTTTTTTGCTTACCATTTTCTTAAACAGTAGTCCCTCAATACTTCACAGTTCGACTTTCATGAACTCACCCTTTCACAGGTTGTCAACTTAAGATTGTACACGATACATGATTGGCGATGGGGAAAGACAGACCCTACCCCACCCTCTCCTTTCTCTTTCTGAAGCTGTCTGTTACAACAAAGAAAGAGAAAGGAGGGGGCGGGGTGGTGTCTGTCTTTCCCCATTGTGTCACAGAGACACACAACAGGCGGGCGTGCAACAGACAGCCTCGGAAAAAGAAAGGAGGGGCGGTGGGGTGGGGGGTAGGGGGGTGTCTGTCATATCTAAGTGAGACGCACGAGTGGCATGGATTGTTTATTTTTAAATAATCATGCGCAAACATTGTTAAGAACATAGAAAGAGTGTGGGAAAGGTTTATAAAGCCTATATATATCTATATTTGTATATATATATATATATATATATATATATATATATATATAAATCAGATTCCAAAATAGTTGGGACACTAAACAAATAGTGAATAAAAACTGAATGCAATGATGTGGAGGTGCCAAAATCTAATATTTTATTCAGAATAGAACACAAATCACAGATCAAAAGTTTAAGCTGAGAGAATGTATCATTTTAAGGGAAAAATCTGTTGTTTCCAAATTTCATGGCGTCAACAAATCCCAAAAAAGTTGGGACACGTCCATTTTTACCACTGTGTGGCATCCCCCCTTCTTCTTACAACACTCAACAGATGTCTGGGGACAGAGGAGACCAGTTTCTCAAGTTTAGAAATAGGAATGCTCTCCCAGTCATGTCTAATACAGGCCTCTAACTGTTCAATCGTCTTGGGCCTTCTTTGTCGCACCTTCCTCTTTATGATGCGCCAAATGTTCTCTATAGGTGAAAGATCTGGACTGCAGGCTGGCCATTTCAGTACCCGGATCCTTCTCCTACGTAGCCATGATGTTGTGATTGCTGCAGAATGTGGGCTGGCATTTTCGTGTTGAAAAATGCAGGGTCTTCCCTGAAAGAGATGACGTCTAGATGGGAGCATATGTTGTTCTAGAACCTGAACATAGTTCTCTGCATTAATGGTGCCTTTCCAGACATGCAAGCTGCCCATGCCACAAGCGCTCATGCAACCCCATACCATCAGTGATGCA